AATACTGTCGTGGTTTCGGACCGACTTGGCAAATGATCCCAAATGACGTCAATTCAACAACTCGATCATTCATAGGCCCGGGGCAACCAGGGGACAACTGTTCTCCTCAGCAACGTTCTGCTGAGGTGTATTCTTGATGAGCGAGCGTCTCTACGGAAATGAACGTGAGGTAAGTCAATGAACCAATGGACCATAGGTAAACAAGCGAATTGTAATGCCACCTTGGATTAAAAAACAAATCTTGTCACTGCCGTTTTATCAGCAAGTCGAATCCTTGCACTCGTGATACCTCGGACCGCCAATATCTCGTCATCACTGTTGCGAGAAGGAACGTTTCATACGTGGCCAAGGTGCCCAATATTCGCGTTCGAACTTCGCCAGCACATATATAATAGACCACTGGGTATGACATTACTTTCGAGTCAGCCATGTTCCCCGCTGCATCCTTGTTGACAATCATCCCCCTGGCTTTGTCAATCACGGCATCGCCCGTTGAAGTCGTCAATTCCCCCATCACCCTCCCCATTGCCAGGAGGTTTAATGTCTCAGATGGTACCATTAACCTCGTGCAGCAGGATAGAGATCGCGTGACGGCCCTCAAGGACCGCACCTTGAAGCACAGCGGCCATAGCACTCCTGCGACCAATGTTGCTAATACATACCTCGTAGCAGTTGGAGTTGGCAGCCCCCCCACAACCTGTAAGTTCAACACCGACAAAATATGCAGCTACTAATGTATTATTGAAGACAACTTGGTTATCGACACCGGTAGCTCGAACACATGGGTTGGCGCCAACACTATGTACGCGGTGACCAAAACCAGCGTCAACACCGGTCAGCCTGTGTCTGTCAGCTACGGTTCTGGCTACTTCGATGGTATGACATAAAGATATTATAAGTTGTTGAAAATAATCGTGATTATCTATAGGAACTGAGTACACCGACACCGTCACTCTCGGTAAGGGGATCACCATCCCCCATCAGTCGATTGGTGTTGCTGTTGATTCGTCGGGCTTTTCTGGTGTTGACGGTATCCTTGGCATCGGGCCTGTAGGCTTGACAGCGGGCACCCTAGTAGATGAACCGTCAACGACGATCCCGACTGTCGCTAACAACCTGCATAAGCAAGGCACCATTCATCATGAGTTTTTTAGTATCTCTTTCGAGCCCACCACTTCGGTGAAGGTCACCAATGGAGAGCTCACCTTTGGTGGAACTGTCGCTGGCAAGCACGTCGGCCCCATCACGTACACGTAAGCTACCTCAGTTTTTAGATCAATCTAGGTTGATGGCAATTGCTGTGTTTCAGTCCTATCACTAAGACCAAGCCTGCATCGGGCTATTGGGGTATCGACCAGAGCATTTCCTACGGCTCCACGACGATCTTGTCCTCCACTGCTGGTATCGTCGATAGTGGAACCACCTTTCTTTACATTGCCAGCGGTGTGTATCTAGAGTGCAGCGAGTAATCATGGTCTAATCAACGTTCGATAGATGCCTTTGACAAGTACAAGTCTGCAACCGGTGGTACTCCGGATGCCGCGACTGGTCTTCTCCTCATCTCCTCCGCCCATTACAAAGCCCTCAAGAACCTGAACTTCCATATTGGCAGCGTACGCCATTTTTGTTAATCCTCACATCTCTTGTTTACCATTTGCACAGGAAACCTACACTCTCACCCCTAACGCCCAACTCTGGCCTCGTGCTCTCAACACCGCCCTTGGTGGTAGTAGCAAGGCCTTGTATCTCGTCGTTGCCGACATTAATACGCCAAGTGGCCAAGGGTTTGACTTCATTAATGGCTACACATTCCTCGAGCGCTTCTACTCTGTGTACGATGCCGCCCACTCCCGCGTCGGTTTTGCCAAAACCCCGTACACTGATGCTACCACTAACTAAAATGGAGCTGCCAGCCCGAGTACACAAAAAAACGGGTTTCAGGCGCAAAGTAGCATACGGATTTGATGGTCATGTACGGACTCTTCTTAAGTAGGCTATAGAGGTTCATTCCTCGGTTGGGTGTGCAATAGTATCACATCTGCTGGCTAGGATGTCTTCAATGGTGAAATGCCAATCTCGCGATCCTTGTCAACTTACCATCACGGTTCTAGTCACCTGGAGGGAGGGACATGGCAGCCATCGACTGGGAGCTGCAGATAACGGCCAAATAACTGGATTCCCGTGTATTCATCATCCACGATGGGAACGCATGTAATTCAACGCGCTGTCGAAACACGTGTGTATGCCTATTCTGTGTTCACAACTGACGTGTCCACTCGTAAGTGAAACCATCCTCAAGGTGCACGAGGCCTTCCTCCCATCATTATCGTCCTCCATCCTGCAAAATGTGGATTCGCGACAATTCAACATCAGGTACTGCAGTACTGTCTGCGTTCTCAGTGCTACCACTTCGTGAATGTGTTTTAATTGATTGATTCCGACCTTTCCGCTTCATCTTTCAACCATATTCTCGGCTCAAGAAGGCTCTGAACATTGCACATAAGGTAGGTTGTTCCTGCCTCGAGTGCTCGTGTCACCAGGTGCCAGCAGGAGCTAATCTCCATCTGAAAACGGCAGTACTGTGCCCCTGGTAACTTATCTAGCTAAGTTGATCACGACATGTTGCTATCCTGCTAACCCTTGCAAACCAAAAATCTTTTTGAAATGACACCGCAAAGCATTGCAATACGTGATTGAGATCTGAGAGCCTATTTATTTCAAAGATATACGCGACGGCGATTGGTCTCGTCTTCGTGGCTCTCTACACCGTCCTAACGTCTGACATACCTTTAAGCCCCAGTCGACACCCAACCATTCTGTTCTAATACCAACTTCCACACGCGGCCTCCTCTTCGCCTCACCTCCTTGCTCGCCCTTCTTCCCGGTGAATGTGCGTCGTACGCAAGGTATTCCTTGATATGCTTGGAGAGGCTGATTGCGGACAAGCAGCTGCTTAAATCTGCGCTGCCTGCGACTAGTATTCTTCAAGCGTTGTTTAGGTGGCTGGATGGCATCACGATCCATACTGGCGGGCACGGCTTCGAGGAGTGAAGAAGTTAACTGCGACGAGCCATCTGTTTAGATCAGTAGGCAGTGGAGTCTGACGAGGAGATGATCATGCTGGATGAGGCAGAATGACCCTCGTCGAGTGATGCTTCAAGTTCACATTAAGTTCTGACTTGCGCACTTTATCGTGCAGGAAGTAAATGAGCAAGCAATATAGTATAGTAGCGATGTGAGGAGCGTGCTGTACCAGGGTAGTCTGGCGCGGCTCCTCGCACTCCCTCACAATCGTCTTTCATGGTGCAACTGCGGACGGTTGCATTTGCAGGAGTGACAGATTTACCAGGGTGGTCTGGTGCAGGTCCTCAGGAGCGCCAGGAGTCTTGGCTCGTAGTCGGTAGTCCAATGTTGTGTTGTTGTAGTCGGCCCTCGATGGATGGAGCCGTACCCTCCCGCTATAGAGGATTGACCTTGGTTTCCCTTACAGTCCATGCCCGTTCCACTGTAAACGTAGTGAATGAAATCTGTAGAACGTGCAAAAAATTTCAGTCGATTAATATAAGTACAAGCCCAAAGTCCGACCCACAGATACTACTACGAAGTTTCTGCAAACAACCCTGAGTAGAAAGTGAGTGGGATTCAGAGGAGCAACTGTCTATCGGGATCTCCAACCCATACCTCCCCATTCGTGCAGGATGGGCTGGTGGCATCCGTAAATCACTGATTGGCCTCACTAAGCCTCACAAGAGCGCAGGCTGTGGGGTTTATCCAGAAAAAGGATATCCTAAACGAGAATCCAGGAATACTGCCAGTGCGTGAGAACTAGAAACAACAAGCTCCAAGGACCAAAACGTAGGTAGAGACGAGCCGCGAGTGTACGGATCAGGTGATGATATCGGAAACCGGAGCTTAATCGATTACTTATGTAATCATCGTCTGCCGGGGTGCAAACTGAATTGTTGCTTCTTGTCCACTACCTATTAGGTCAAATGAATACCGACCAACAATTTGCCAGTGGACTTCCAGTTCCCAAACAAGACCTTTCGATGGGATGCCCGCACTACAATTGTACGTGGGACCATGATAGCATGAATCATTTTGAGACTTCTTGGCCCTTAGACGATACCCGTAGGTTACCATCCATTACATGTACGCCTGTTGAATATTGATTCCCGATAGGAATTTGAACTCAAGACTGGTGTGTGCCGCTACATGATAACGTTTGCAATGTGCACTGATTTCCTTTGTGATTGACTCGGGCCGTGACCAGCCGACGTGCTTGAGTTTCGTCACTACTCCATCTTGTGGATACTATATCATTCTATTCCATGGGTTTCGGGCCGAGTTGGCAAATAGCATCAAATGGCGTCAATCCAACAACTCAATCATTGAAAGGCCTGGGATAACCGCTCTCAGCAACACTTGCTACACCAACCTGACGATGACGTTATTCTTGATGAGCGCGCATCTCTACGGATATGAACGTGAGGTGAGTCAAAGAACCACGGGACCATGTACAAAACAAGTGAATTGTAAATTACTGCCGCCTTCAAGTCAGAATGTCAGAAATTAAATTGGCCAGTCTTGGACAACGTCTGGGCCAAAGTCTCAACTCTGTCACCCTTGCCCGCACCTCTTCCTGCCCGCCAGCCCTATATTCTTTGTCCGCTCACTGTCTAGCAATAAACGCTAATATGTCTTCGTTGCAACACAGACGAACACGAACATTTGTACTCCGCTTTGAGGTGCCGATGATCCTGCCGATGTCCCAGACCGGCCATTTCAGAGATGCCCTCCTTCAAGTTGGGTTGAAAATAACTTCTTACACTTCTGTTTCATTAGGAAGTCGAAGCCTTATACTTGCGATACTCGGACCGCCGCTATCTCGTCATCGCTTTTTCGAGAGGGGACGTTCCATACGTGGCCAAGATGGCATTCAAACTTCACTAGTACATATATAATAGACCACTGGGTATCGCATTACTTTCGAGTCAGCCATGTTCCCCGCTGCATCCTTGTTGACAATTATTCTCCTGGCTTTGTCAATCACGACATCGCCCATTGAAGTTGGCAATTCCCCCATCACCCTCCCCATTGCTAGGAGGCTAAACGTCTCCAATGGTACCATTAACCTCTTGCAGCAGGATAGAGCTCGCGTGGTCGCCCTTAAGGACAACTCCTTGAGGCACGGCGGCCATCATAGCGCACCTGTTATCAACGTTGCTAATAAATACCTCATAGCAGTTGGAATTGGCAGCCCCCCCACAACCTGTAAGTTCAACACTGACAAAATATGCGGCTGCTAATGTATTATTGAAGACAACTTGATTGTCGACACCGGTAGCTCGAACACATGGGTTGGTGCCAGCACTCCGTACGTGGTGACCAAAACCAGCGTCAACACCGGTCAGCCTGTGGCGAACAGCTACGGTACCGGCGTCTACTTCTCTGGTACGACATATAAAATACCACAAGTTGTTGAAAATACCTATGACTATTTATAGGAACTGAGTACACCGACACCGTCACTCTCGGTAGGGGGCTCACCGTCGCCAATCAGTCGATTTGTGTTGCTTCTACTACAAGGGGCTTCATCAGTGTTGACGGTATCCTTGGCATCGGGCCTGTAGACTTGACAGAGGGTACCCTGGTAGATGAGCCGACAACGACGATCCCGACTGTCACTAACAACCTGCATAGCCAAGGCACCATTCATCGTGAGATGTTTAGTATCTCTTTTGAGCCCACCAATTCGGAGCCAGTCACCAATGGAGAGCTCACCTTCGGAGGGACTATCGCTAACAAGCACGCCGGCCCCATTGCGTACACGTAAGCTACCTCCTACTAGATCAATATTCAATCCAGGCTGATAGTAATTGTTTTGATTTAGTCCTATCACTACCACCGACCGTGCAGCGAACTATTGGGGTATCGACCAGAGCATTTCCTATGGCTCCATGACGATCTTGTCCTCCAATGCTGGTATCGTCGATAGTGGAACCACCTTTCTTTACATTGCCAGTGGTGCGTATCTAGAGTGCAACGAGTGATCGTGGTCTAATCAGCGTTTGATAGATGCTTACAGAATGTACATGTCTGCAACCGGCGGTAATCCGGATCCGGACACTGGACTTCTTCTCATTTCCTCTACCCAGTACAATGCCCTCGAGAACCTGAACTTCCATATTGGCAGCGTACGCCATTTCCATTAGCCTTCATATCCCTTGTTTACCATTTTCACAGGAAACCTACACTCTCACCCCTAACGCCCAAATCTGGCCTCGTTCTCTCAACACCTATATTGATGGTAGCATCAACGCCATATATCTCATCGTTGGCGACATTGGTACGCCCAGTGGCCAAGGGTTTGACTTCATTAACGGCTACACGTTCCTCGAGCGCTTCTACTCTGTGTTCGATACCACCCGCTCCCGCATCGGTTTTGCCAAAACTCAGTACACTGATGCCACCACCAACTAAAATGAAGCTGCCCAATTACACAAAGGAACATTTTTCAAACGCAAAGCAGCATTACGGATTTGACGGTTGTACGGACGGTTCTTAAGCAGGTAATGTAAGTCTTACTCCTCGGTCGAGTTTGCGCAAGATTAGCAATAGTACTACATCTGCTGGTTAGGATGTTTAAAATGGTGAAATGCCAATTTCGTTCCTTGTCAATCTGCCGTTACGATTCTAGTCGCCTGGAGCGAGGAGGACACGGCAGCATAGACTGGAAGCTGCAGACGACATGGCGTTGGCAAGACCTGCGACGTTAACCCATCGCCCAGAGATTTCCTGCTATGTGAAAAGTTCCCGTGCAGTGTGCACTTCTCCTCTCTGACCGTAAGGCTGATGTTCACCAATTATGTACGGTTTACTTTTGGATCCAGTTCCCTGCTGATTGTGCTGCCCGTCACCACGACTGCCTTCCTGCCCGCCCACCACTTGCTGTTGGAATGCTACAGTCGTGCTCCACTCAAAATGCACATTATCGGTACACTTTGTTTGCCCATTTCCTATTACTGCATCCACTCTTCTCACGCACCACCTTCTTTTCCTACCTGCGCGCCCGCTCCGTTTCCTGTCAGCATGTGCACACCTGTGATTTGTGGTAGACCATCAGGTGCAGCAGTACTACGGAGACCGTGTGAGGCTGGAGTTGGAGTATGTCGTCCTTGGAGGCATTTGAACAGCGTAGGATAGTTCAATTAGTTCTGGAGAGTGTGTCAGAGCCGAAAATACACTCGCGATGTCTATGATGTGCACGGTGCACTAAGGTGGTAACTGACACGTAACGTTTAAACTCCGCTCGAAGCCACTCAACCCCAGAGGCAACCCAGAGGGCCTTGAAAGCTTGACCCCAGACTTTGGCCCCAGATACCCTGAATGACATCCGTTGTGCTTCGAATCCCCTGTTCTTGGCTTTCGTTGAGCACTGTGGCCATCGTTGTTCGTGCACTAAACTGTTTGCAGGTTGTGTAGTTTGACAGCGCCGAGTCATGATTGTGGTGACCTACAACAAGGTGTCCATGTCGTCTTTCAAGCATTCAATCATACCCATTGCGCTGTGCTGCATCGGTTGGCTTCTGACCCATGTTCTGATGCTGGTGAGCATCTGCTATTGCATTCATAGATCGTTTCCCTACTCGTTTCCTGCACAGCCCTACTGTAATTGAACGCATTTGAGCGGTTTGATGGCTCCCCTTCTGGCTTTTTGCGCTTCCTCTCGTCGTACGAAAGGCTCTTGGCGTTAACTTGCAGACCTGTATGAGCGATCTGGCGCTATGTTGGTTGATTATAGTTGGTTGTTTCACATTCAGGAACACCTTATTTGCATAAATTTTATGCCAATATCTGGCCCTCCACGAGGGCTATGCTAATTTGCTCGTCGACTAGACGCCATACTCCAACCTTATTTTTGACGGCGCTCGAGCTGTCTTATTCCCTGCCACACCCCTTCCGAGTTTCAGGGTGTGCTTGATCAGCTGCCAGCTGCCTTGCCTGTTGACGGTTCTGCTTTCATGTCAACATACCTTGTATTTCCATCGTTCACGATTGATACTGATCTGCTAGATAGTGGAAGCGAAATTGGGGACTTAAATCAGTCCGATTTTTTGATTCCGGAAGGATCTGGAATTGTGGGGATAGAGGAGCCGTCCTTTTGGAAGAAAATTCAATCATGCAGGGTCATATGGCGCACGTGGTCAATACCTCAATTCGTGTTGAGTGCATCATGCAGGGCCATCGGAGTTAGTCATCCGATGTTCCTGCATCAGCCAGAAGGATGATCGTAAGTGCTTCGAGAGACGTAATCGTCTGCATGGAATCTGCCATGGTAGCATGAACATGTTTCAACGAGCATCTGGGCCGACGAGCACAGTTGAAGGACTCCTGCGTGCTGTTCAGCCGTCGTGTAGCCAATTTCAAGCTCTGCTATATACGTGCTGGATGTGCAGTATCCCGGCGCTTTCCGGACCACCACTAGCAGATTTGTCCCCCAGACTTTAACACGGACTCTGTGACTTGTCTGTATAGACCTCACGCAGACTGGCCAAATTCCGCACCATGTCTTGACGCAGACGGCGCCACCGCAACACTCCGAAGTCACCCAACACGGAGCGAGCAAGGTCAAATGAACCTCCGGCAAGCGTACTGAGGTTCAGTGCGGTTACGACTCGTTCGCTGAACGTGTTGTGCCGTTCCGGAAACACTTCGGACATACTATCACGCAATTTATTTCACTGGGATCCGGATCTAGTATGTAGTGGAGAACCCCTTTTCCGCGCAATACCAATTGAACTTTCTTTGCAATTAGGGTTGGATTGTACTAGTGCTGCGGATAGAACGAACGGGATGAACGGTCATCTCCGATTTTCTGGTATATACAAGAATTGAAACAATGGGGAAAAATACAAGACCAGCCTTAGCCCTCGCACTGGAAAACGCAACCGGAATGAAGACGAAAAGGCGTGTGCGTCCAGCTCCATATAAATAGAAGCGGTAAGACGATAAAAATCTGGTTCATATCAAGAAAATAAATTGATTGTTGATATAATACTAGTAATGCGACATCGCGGGTCTATCTCATAAAAGCCGCCATGTTTTATCGCCACTCACTTATTGTCTCACCTCTGAAACGTTCCAGGAAATTTCATCTCGAAGTCCTCCTATCACTACATTTTTCCTATCTACGCAAATCATGGAATGCTCTATCCGCAAGTGCTCTGCAGCCATCAGCGTCCAGGAGGTACGCTTTTCCTGGTCTACAGTTGCCTCGATTAATATTTCTCCATGTTCAGGGTCAAGAAGTAAAATTGTTCGACGGAATGCCTGTTTGCGAGAAGTGCGATGCCTTCTTGCATGTCAGTAGTTCTTTTCGCTCTTTGGACAGTGTGCTTATTTAGGCTTTCATCCCCAGGCACCCCTCCCGACCTTCACTAGAAAAACAGAGTCTGTGAAGGTTGACATGTCCCCTTTCTTCTGTAGACATCGTGCTGATTTATGCTGTCCCCACAGAAGCCATACGAAGAGTCCGAGGCTTATAAGAAAGAAGTCATTCACGACGGACGAGCTCTTTTGGATGTAAGTCATCGATCGCTCTCACTCACTCTCTCCTCATTATGGTTGTTTAGTACCCAGCGCATCTGCCGTTCCCAAAGCAGGGCCACGGGGTCAGGCGAATTCAAGTCCCCGACAAGGAGGGTGGTATGCGGTACAAGTACATCACCCGCCGCGTCGAATCCAAGAAGTAACGGCAATCAGTATTTAAAATCATCTATGAGAAAACCTGTTCTGGTTATCACGTCACTGATATTCAGAAGCTGATCAAGCTAGTGATGGGCCCACTGCTAACTCACTAGACCTGCCTATGTATGTCTCCGCTGCATCCTTGGAGACCCATATCGTGATACATCCTCTGAGAGGAATTCATTTTCTTGAACAATTGAATTTGTTATCAAGAAGAAGTTGGGACACAGTTGGAGCAAGAGGAGGACTACTGTCCGGAGACGTATATGTGCGGCAATTTCGGGTGAGCCAAGTGCACGGGACCGAACAGTATCAAAGAAGTACACGTCCTCGCGGAATGGCAAATTAATATTGTACATGTGGACCTGGTATATGAATGTCCAACCCTTGACTCATAGTACTAGATTTGATTTGATTTTGTCTTACCGCTTATACTTACTTGTGGAGTTGCATCAACTCCCGCCTTTTCGTCCTCATTCGTTGCGTTTTCCAGTGCGAGGTCTAGAGTTGGAAGGTAGTTTTCCTCGTTAATCTTGGTTCTTACGCGGGGGCTCAGCGCTCAGCGCTCAGCAGTGTAGATCTCGGAGATCTGCGGGACATTGGCAAGCTAGCTCCACTTACGGTAGCATTGAGAACTCCACATTCTAGTTTAATTTTGTGTAAACCTTAAAAAAGTCGGAGTATGGTCCCGCAACTTGTCACAATCTAGAAATGCTTTTCAAACCGCCGACCGATTGTATCCAATTGATTCTAATGTACAGAATCTAGAATCTCAGTGGTATGATTATAAATGAATGCACGTGTCTTCAAATCAACGCGTGTTCTAGTTCAAATGAGAAGCAGGCTTCGTTCCATGCTTGTCGCCATAAATTGCCCCATAAGTGCCCAATGGTGATGACACCAGTGTCATCGTCCATCGACACTTGGGATGATGCTACATCCGATGATCAAGCCGTTGAGCATCCCTCCCGCCGATGAAAGATATGATGGGACAGACAATCCACGCATGTGAGCCATTGCGAAAATCGTGGACAAGGTCAAGCTAAAAATGTCGCCGTCAGCGACTACGGTTGTGACGGTTCAAAAAACTACAATAATTTGTGATTGCCTGTCAAATTGCGCCTTAAATTTTTGCTGGAGAAGCGGTATCTGCATGTTTTTGTCGGAATTGGGTATCGCCAAAGAGTGATGAGAGGCTGCGTTCGACACGGGTGTAGTCCTGCAGCGAATGAAAAGAGTACACCCAGGAAGCGCTGTGCAGTTCCTGTATAGGGCGATATTATTTTCATAAAGAACATCGTAATCAAACAAGCGAACTACCTTTATAATCGTAGAAAAACACTAGGTAGAAGGTGGCACACTAGGTTGAAGCTGGTGGTTATTCAGCTTGTGAGAACCAAAGAATTGATGGAGAGGGAAATGATCTCTCTGCTCTATCTTACCACCGTATTAGCCTATCTGAGACTTTGGAAGGGGTGCACAGGTGGGGAGGAGTGGGGGGACAAAGATTTTGGAGTAAAGACCATAGCATGATCGACACACGGCAAGACCGCAGCAAGCGGGACTGATAATAGTGCGATGAGTTTGTGGGATGTTAACGTTTAACATGGGCAAGGTCCTCGAAACCTGAACAGGACACAGATGGAAGGCGAGTGGTGAGTGTGTCATATGTTGAGGGTGGAGAAACTACAACCAGGGTAGGGGAAGACCGTGGGCTTGCCTGGACCGATGCCCACAATGATTGCACGTACGGGCGGATTGGTGAACTTGAAAATCCGGAATGCCAACACAGGCGAACTCTGGAACGCACACTTTGTCAGCCTGATCACGTGCGAGATGAAGGCGCGTCACATCACCTGGCATCCTACCATGGCGGCAGCAGCACGGTCAGATTCTTCCCTTCCATTATGATTTTGGAGTATAATAGACATCCTCTAGATCACTCGGCACCTGCATATTTTTTAAGATTATCAAGGGTGTGTTATTCTTCTCGTCATTCAACTACGCCACCTTATCACAGCGCTATCGTGTTCTAGGTGAGATCCCAAGCTTCAAGCTCCCAGAGACAGAAACTTCGTTCGTCCCTTTTCTTCTGTCATATCATTGGCACACGATTAGTTACTCATTCCTTGACATTAGCCCCCTCTCCAAGGGCCATGCTCTGATCATTCGTAAAGGTGCGTCAGCTGTGATCAGAAGGAGAAAAAGGTTTATTTCACGAGAGAAGGCGCTTATGTGCATAATAGACCACGCGAAAAAGCTGCACGAGCTCACAGACGAATACCTTATGGATATGCTGTCCATCGCCAACAAGATCGCCACTGCACAAGGGCTTGAGAACTACAACATCCTCCAGGTGCATTCCCATATACAATTACCGTCCCCCTCTCCACATTTCCTGCTGTTTAACCTGCAGAGCTGACCCCACCACCAAGAATAACGGCCGCATCGCACTCTAAGATATGCACATCCCTGATCCGATTCATCCAGGCTTTTTCATCCCAAGAACATGCGCGCTCTGGAACAGCAATAAAATCTTGCTTGCAGCTATCCTTGTTACTGCTTTCGTGAATCCAATATTTACTAGCCACACCCAAAATAGCCGCTGATGTATCAGCCAGACTTTTCTCGGGGCCTCCATCGGCATTACCGTCACCACTACTGCTCCCGCAACATGGTATGCATTCTCTTCTCTCCCTGGCGTTCCACTAACATTCAACAATTATGTCCACTTCTGCAGATTCAGTTAGTGCGATCCCCGAAATCACGGGGAGCTACCAGAGCTCGAGTAGTCTCCAGCTCTTCATACCATTTCTTCTCCTCGAACTGGGTGAGTAACCAGGAGCATATATGTGTATAAACACACGCTGACGGATACTCCCCAGGGCTCATGACCCTCACACTCATACGAGCCATACAGAGTTAGCGGCAAAACCAAAGCCGTTTGTACATTGTCCTGGTGAATTATAACAAATTTTATTATGCATGTGGTCTTTGTGAGTTAACACTTGCACACCCCATTTTTCCGTGCTCATCCTCTTTCCTGAAGTGTTCTCGGTGGCGAACATATTCACATCACTGCTCCTCCATGTACGTATATCTCCAAATGCCTTTTATGTTCGAGTCGTTGATGTTTCGCACACCCAGTACTCCTACCACGCCATATTCCATGAGTATGCACCTCCACAACCTTCTGCGCAATTCTACTAACAATTCCCGAAACGCACATTCACGTACAGTTTTCAGTCCATCATGCTTGCGATCCTCGCCACGCGTATGCACCGCCATCTCTGGCAGATGAAGCGACAGTCACACGGTGTGACACCTTACCCGCTGACTTGCGCGGTACCGTTCATTCAGCGAGGTGTGTATTGTACGAGATGACTAGTGGGTTTGGTAGAGTTCACTAGACGCTTAGCTTATAGGTGCCATACAGAGCTGACGGACAAACTCAAATCATCTGTATGTTGTCTTGATGAACAATAACACATTCTATTATGCTTATACTTTTCGTGAGTTAACGTTAACACTTGTACACGCCGTTTTCTATGCTCATCCATGGTCATTCTGTTTCTTGAAGTGTTCTTGGTAATGGACATCTTCACATCGTTGCTCCTACAGGTGCGTGGATCTTCTACATGCCTTCTATGATGAGCCGTTCATGTTCTGCGCCACAGGACACCTACCGGACCGTTTTGAATGGGTATGCACCTCTGCATCCTACTGCGTATTCCTATTAATAACACTCGAAATGTACACCCGCGTGCAGTTTCCAGTTCCTGACCCTTACGATTGTTGCCGCGCGCATGCACATCCATCTCGGGCAGACAAACCAACATCTACGCGGGTCTAGCGGCCTGATTCATGTTCCATTGTCCGACCTGTCATTTGAAAATACCACGGCGTGATGTCTTATCGTGTGGTTTATTCAGTGTCGTTCGTGGAGCGAGGCTTGGACCGTACGACATGATTGGTGGGGGTGGGTTTGGTCGAGTTCGTGATGTGTTTAACTTATAAGGTGAGTCTGTCGCGGGGCGGGCGGAGCATTTCGATGGCCTTGGTCTATTTAACAACTGTAGTTTCAGCTGCTGATCATGTACTTAGATCACACAGCCATGCGTGGTGGAATTCATAATGAAGTTTTGATACGGCACCGCCATGACATCACAGCGAGCAAGGAACGAGCCCAAGTGCACTCATGTGAACATGGTTGAACGTTGAACCTTCTTACTTGCATTTTTATATATCTCATATGGCTACAAAGATCATTCAAGACATTCCGAAGAAAAATTGTGTTAGCACGTGAACATCTATATATGAAGCAAGTGGTGATCAGCTTTTGTCTCCCGCGATGTAACGAGATTATGACGCGGAAGATTCAAGTAGTCAGTATGCTAATTGATGGAAATCTAAGTTGTACAAACACATATTGAACGATCTGTGTACGATTTGAACAGTACGTACAATGCTGCGCGAAATTCAACTTCGACGTATCAACGGGTCACCTTTCCAGCAAATGTCAAGCTCCCCGTGCAGAAGACCATTGCATCACCAAGAGCTGCATTCCAGAAAACGGGGCCAACTTCCCCGAGGGTGTTGCCAACACGTGGCATGGATCCAAGGAAGGTAGTGCAAGGGAAAGGAGGTGCACGAGGAGAGATAGTTCCGAGTGCGTGGGTGATAGTTATGGTGCCAGCAAATATTGATTATGAGAGTAGTTAGACACAGGTGCAGGGGAAAGAGTGTTGAACTGAGTGTGCGCGTGCCACATGTCTTGCATCCTTCATGACTGATGCGAAGCAGGACGACGGAGACCACAGAAAATTCCGCAGCAGCTCACTCCTGCATACACAAAGTCTTCCGCTCCGCCAGTTGAGCCTTGTGCTTGTGCTTGTGTTTGGATTGGTTGTGCTTGGGACGCTTGTGCCCCAGATGGTTGACCTGATTGCGTTGCACTGTTGGCCTGGTTGCTGTTCGTACGTTGCATGGCTGCAGCCGCTTCCGCATCAGTTTCAGGGACAATGCCATATCTCTGCATTGTATTTTAATGGAACGAAATTGAAGGGACAACGAGTGACTCACATCTTCATCTTGAGCAAGAGGTACATCGACGGTGCGCGGGGAATGTCCTCCGGAAAACAACTTGAAGTTGAAATTCCAGTGTCGGGACTGTCGTTCTATTGGTTGGGATGCGTTTAGAGGTCGTGCGCCGAAATGTATGGAACTGAGCAAACGACGCCAACGAATAAGAGACGATAAGCTTGTGGGCGGAGCTGCATGACGAGACGCGTGGTCTGATTCGTCGCCAAAGAAATTATTGCCCTGTATCTTGGTGTCAGGCGAGAGAGGTGAAGAACAAGAAAGTACACTGACATATCTTGCCAGTCCTGTTTTTTTGGCCTGCTAATTAGACGCAAGACGGAAGTCAAAGGTCTGACGAGACATGAGAAAAGGTGGGGTTGGACGCACAACTCTCTGTCGGGCTGGACGTTCCTAGTAAAAAAGTGAGCTGTATTGTGAAAGAGAAGCGGAAACTACTTGCCTTGAGCTTTGGATTGCCATCATCTGCGCCCTAGATGGCCAGAACAGTTAGGAGAGAAATTAGACAACCAAGTGCATACCTACCACAACTTTGAGCGCTGCCTCCAGGTTCCATATATATATTTTGTTGTCTAGTCCAGCACTGGCAATGTATTTTCCATCGGGGGACATGACAACAGCGCAGAGTTGGTCATCATGCAAGAGTGGATCTCCGACAGCCTGATCGGTCTTGAGATCCCAGATGCGAATGGAGTAGTCATCTGATGCGCTAACAATATACCTTTCATTGGGAGTAAGACAGAGGGATGTGACGGCGTAGGTGTGACCCAAAAAAACGACAAGTTCCTGTCCATCAATCGCCCGCCATTTTCGGACGGTGGTATCAACTGAGGCAGAGAATATGTGTGCACCGTCCTTGGACCAACACAATGACATCACATCGTCCTCATGTCCCTTGATTTCGATAAGCAGCTTGCCGTCCATCGACCATATGCAGATTGGACCGTTCCCACCGCTCGTGAATTTGTCGCTTTTTGGGGAGTATTTGACGGCTTCAACCCATCCATGGCTGGTTTCTATGGGTGGTGCTATTTGTCGACCAGTATCCGGATTCCAGCGTCGTATGGTGCCGTCTTGCAATCCACTTGCTATCTCCAGGGAATTGCTAGACCAATCAAGGCACCTCACTGAAGCATTATGCCCCTCCCACGGGTCGCCAATCATGCTGCCCTCCTTTATATTCCAGAGCCGCAGTCTGCCGTCGTCACTCTCACAAATGACCATTGTTTCATCTGGGGATACTGCCATCGAAAATATCCCTCCCCCATCGCTATTCAAACGTTTTCCCACTGGCTCTCCGTCTCTTTTCCACTGACGAATAAAACTATCGTCAGACGCGCTGATTATATTGCCACTGTTACGCAAATAGGCAAGGCCCCATATGGATCGAGAGTGACCCTCGATGACGCACTCCGGCATCAAGCTTCCTGCAGGACGTTCTGGCTTTGGTTTCTTCCATGACGTGGTCCGAGTATTGTGGTCGACGAAGTAGGACCGACCGAGTGGTGAGACGTGCCATTCCCATCCAGGAACAACGAGGTCTCCAGGATAGTCTATGTTCAACGGTGAGTTCGTCGCTCGTAAGTTTTCACAATTTCATCCCTCACCTAGTCGCACTCCTGGTAAAGGTAGGTTTAACGAGGTCAACACGAGCGTGTCATCTTGATATAGTGTTTCACCATCCGACGTCATAAACCGTTGCCACATAGGAGGAAGCGCTTCATTCCCGCCTGATTCTAATTGAGTAAGCTAGTAGGTATCACAAGGTAGTTGATCACCTTCCCAAAGTGCATCCTGACGGTGCTGTGCACCATACGGTGGTAGATATTTTGCGCTCATCCGATATATCGATGAGTGCAATGGCGCTTCTCCTAGTCTCGTTGACATGCTTGACTCGGCTTCTTCGTGTGGCATGACGAGGATGTCGCGTTGTACAGACAGACTGGACAGTGAAATACTGCGCAAAGTCAGTAACCGAGAGGAAGGAGAGATACCGGGCGAAAGTGATGAAGAGACCTATTTGGGTCAGTTCGGCCCCATGCTGTAGTTGCAGGCGCCTTGATACCGCATATCAATGGCTGTGTTACCACCGGATCAAGTACTTATCTCGGTCCGGTTCAAATTTTGAGGCAGTCGATACCGTCTCGTCAGCGAGTGGAATTATATGATGTTTGTTTAAGGTGGTGCATACACATCGAATCTGCACGCTGCATAGTACTAGCAGCACTCCCGAGCAAATCACCACCAGTAGTGACAAGTGATTGCATGACTGACGGGAACGTATATACATAGAAGCCCTTTGATGTTGGCTGCGCAATATTGCTTTAATCAACACTCCTAAGCGTTGATAGTATCCTCTCGTCTTAACAAGCAGAGTGTTTTGAACGTTCAATATCAAAGCCAAAGTCATGTTCGAATGAACGACGACGAACTTCACCAGCATTCCCACACATTGCAGTCAACGACCATGACCTTGATTCATTAAACGGAGGAACCCTGATGTAGGCTACGCAGCATCAACCTGAATGCTCTCACCTGTCTGCGTGACCTGCTGCACGACTTCACCCACAGCCGAACCGTTACCGCGCTTTTGTGTGCTAGTAACAACCTCCGGCACGTTCGCCAGGCCAGCCTTCAAGACGCTTCACCAGTGCCTCCCATTGCTTTCGCTTAAACGTGCACATTGATGAATGGTAAATGTGTAGAGATTGAGTAGTCTGCGAGAGCTTTCCCGAAAGAAGAGCGGTACAGATCACTATTCGAACATTACTTGAGATAATCATACACGACATGATGTAAAGAGGACATACCATCGATCACCCACTTCACTCAGTTCAATCTGCAGGATCGACGCGACCTCTGAATACGGCAGATCATGTCCAACACGTGCAAAACCCAGTGACGCAAATGACAGAAGACGGATCTTCCGCTCAAGCCGTGCTTGGTCAAGTTCTGGAGGCCCACGAATGGTTCAAATATGTGACATCAATCATAATGAACTGACTTACCATATTTTTCGAGAGCGGCGGGATGGCTTTCGAGCCATGAATGTAATTCTGGTAGACCACTATTCAAAAACACCTGCAGAAGCGAGAAAGGCTCATGATCTTTCGCAGAGACAGCAGCATCCAACTTGAACAATGGATCAAAGTCTCTGGGCAAACACAACGCTAAGGCTATGGCATCAACCGCCGCGGATTGACTTTCCGGTGAATAGCATGGTAATCAAGAAATGTAAAAAAGCGTGTGATGACAAGCAGTTTCCCTGCATGAGTCAAATGTCAACCACAACCTTCATCATTCAAATAGAATAATACGTACGGCAGCCCAGATTGTATGAAGGCATCAACAACGGACTTGAGGAATTGACTGCGCTCTTCCCCAGAGATATTCCATTCTTGCAACCACTGCTCGACATCTTTTCTGGATAGACGCAAAGTCTCGAGCTCCCCATTGTTGGTGACGACTTTTAGTAGCCTGGTGAAAGTAGATAGGGCTGAATCACGGTGATTAGCATTGATATACTGTTTGAGAACTGAGTACACAGCCTGCATAAATATGCTCAAAATGTAGTACTCACACGCGGTGCTTCACTGATGGATGCTCAGAAGGTGATGAACTAAGAACACCCAGGAACGAGGAGACGCGATGTTAAATTTCCGGTGAGTTGGTCGGCCATGCCATAATGTTAGAAGGTGAGACGAGTCGGAGAAGAGAAGGTTGAAGTCACGATTTCTTCAAAATCAGATCTAATTCGCCCAAGCTTTTCGTCTGATCGAGTGGAGCAGGGATTTCAGAGCGACTAATGTTTTGAAGCACTACCGCGGGTTGCGAGGAACCAAATTTGAAGCTTGGTTAGGGAGGATTTTTAAGCATCCTTGAACGATGAAATGCTTCATCGGGACCGCAGTAAACTAAATTTAAACTCGAGCTAACTCAATGGTATTTGCACTGCCACCGTGATGCGCTTGTACTTAGCTCAATAGCTAAGAAGGCCCCATGATAGACATTTTTTGACCTCTAAATGGAGTATTCGACTGACGATGTCGCAGCAGCAAGGAGTTTGCAGTTCGCCACGGTATGTCTCCTTGTCGATACGAGGATGAATCATAACTGACAAGTCATGTACACCAGTACATATATAGTGCGTACTACTGTCTGAACGTCATATTATTTGTCCTGATACCTGAGCTCAGCATCGATGGCTGCGTTCTGGGTACATCAGGAAAAACCCCCTTTCTGTATTGGGGACAATTAGAGCCGATTGTATCAAACTTGGAAAATCCTTTGCCGTTTTCTCAAATGCGTGTCAAAAAGACCTAAATATTCGACAGTCTGACCCAATGTGCGCAACGAAAAAAAGAATTTTCGGATACCTTTGCAGTTGTTGGACTCGGAGGACGTGACTTGGAATGTAGATTTGGTGCCGAAGGTACGTAGTTTTGCATCTGCTCGTATATGATGATGCAAGCAGGATTCTTAGATTGAGCTAGGTGGCGAAAATAACTGTTTTTAGTGAAGAGATGCTGACATCCATCGCAAGTAGGCATGATAGTAGATTGGCCTATGACACTTTGGAACCGGATTGACTTGGTGAGTTTGTGTTAACGGCATCTGCCAGATTTGTGACTTATTTTTTTGCAAATCGATTCGATCGATCAGTTCTCTTATCATCTTGCCTCTACTCTACTGTGATGGTGAAAACCAAAGGACCCACACCCAGCGAGAAAGCTGCAGCCATGCATGCAACCAACTTGCAAAAAGCTGCAGCTCCGAGTCCTGCAACATCGGATGGCCGGCCTGTATGACAGGCCAAATCTACTGCCTACAAGGATCAAGGTTCGTTGTTCGTTGTGCCTTGCGATCATTACTGTTGGTGTGCGCTGACCCACTTATTTAGTTTGGATGGCAGAAAAGAGTACTAATCGGAAACGTGCTGCATCCAACAACGCCGAATCAGAACACATCAAGATGCCTCGAATTGTGACATCTGACGCGAAGTCCAACACCAAGGTCGTGTCTGCGTCTGAACTGTTTGACTCAGACAACGACATTGCTGCATTAAGTGGCAAGTCCAACGAGCATGGCACTGGTGACAACTCGGACGACAATTTAGATGCGTCCGATGATGATCTCAAATCCCTCAAGGCGGACAAAAAGAAACTGAAAGAAGTACTGGATCTTGAAGTAAGTTTTTTCATTATGGTTGGAAGTGTCTGCTCTGCTGATTTCATCTCATGTCAAGCGACTCAATTTGTAAATCGTGCACGGTCCAAGAGCACTGGCTCTGAATCGCGAGGTTCTCATCTTAGTAAGGGCACAAGTGACACTGATGACGACTCGGATGAGCCTTGCACGACCAAGAGCAGGAGGGGAGTTCATGTTTTTTTTGTTTGTTTTCAGACGGCGCTGACTGCTAGTTTCATGGTTGATAGAAACCGACTTGGCGGGATAGTACTGAAGACACGAGTGATACGCTTGTGACTGCCTCAAATCCGAAACTTGTGCGAACATGTGAGGAGGATTGGCCTCTGAGCAGCCGGATTATTTATAGTACATCAGGCAAGGTTAACCTAACAGATCAGCAGGCCCATATGCAGGACATGCTACGCGCTTCTATCACCCGCATCCTCGAGTACCTCGTGTTCGAAAATGTGTATCCTGACTTGGAGCATCAGCGGAAGATTATGGGAGACATTTTGCTCACGTGCACCAACGATTGACCTGAATTTGAGGCTGTCAGGTCACGACTGATGAAGGATGCGAAATATGTACGAGCCCTGGCTTCAGTGGTACGTCTTTGAACTGACACTTAATGCTTCACATTCTAACAACTTTTCAACGTGGTGTGCGATCTCGAGACGGACGAGGCATTGATGTTCCTTGACATTGATGCAATGCCAGAGTCGGAGGAGTAGTAGGTGACGAGCGCTAGTAGTAAAATTGACTAGGATTCACCTGAATTTGATTGTTTTTGCGATGTTTGAATTGGATCTATTGTCTGATTTACGCTTTGGTATTGGTAGTAATTAGGGCGAATTGTCTACAATTGGGAGGGGGACTAAAAAAATCAGTCATATCAATGGAACGTATCGAATCCTCGACAATCCGCGAGAATTCAGTGTTATTGTGTCAAATTAGGAATCACCGATTTCGCTGATGTAGGCTTATTCTGGTCTATTCATGTCCGCTGCCAAACTCGCTTTTCCAGACCTATGATTATGCATGTTCGCTTCATGAAGAGGTAATACATTTCTTCCATGATACGACTTAGATTTGATACACACAATGTGATATTCAAAGTGGACATTTTTGCTTCGATCGCGCTGGAGCAAGATGAAAGGCTTGTATATTGTTACAAGATACCTTCCCTTTATCCTTCTCATCACAGATCTATATAGTGCGTTCCGCTCCAGCACACATCGTCCTGATTAATCGATGAACACTTGTTTTTCAGTGAGCTTTACCTCGAATGAGAACCCAGTTGTATGTGACGAGGTAGAGAGTTAATGAGACCGAACGACTTACTCCGCGACTTTGCCAGAAATGCGGGACGTTGGCCAATATTAGCTCAGGTACGTGCATGGTACACTCATCTATGTACAGCCTTGCTGAGGGCAGCCCACTTTCTCTCACAGGGTTTGGCATGATATTAGCCATTTGCTCCGAGTGTATCTCCACTTCCTCCCTAAGATATGCATGTCGCTGATCCGATTCAGGTTTTTTCATCCTCAGAACATATGCGCTCTGGAACAGAAATAGAATATTGCTCGCAGCCATCCTGGGCACCTTTTTCGTGAGTTTCCAATCCAATCACCGTACACAAGCTAGTGGTAGATCCATCAGCCAGTCGTTTCTCGCAGCATCCGTCAGCATTACCGTCGACACTACCGTCTCCGCGGCATGTATGCACTCTCACCTTCCCTCTGGTGGTCCATGACAACTGAAACATTCTGTTCACATTTACAGATACGACTAGCACGATCCCGGGCATCACAGGGTGCTACCAGAGTTCAACCAGTGACCGGATTTTTATACCATTTCTTCTCTTTTCTATGTTCGAACTGGGTAACACGGAGTATATATGTAAAAATACGCGCTGACAAACATTCTCCCCAGGACTGATGATACTCACGCTCATGCGCGCCATACAGAGCTGGCGGAAAAACCCAAGCCGTCTGTACGTTGTCCTGGTGAACCATAATATATTCTATTATGCTTGCGCTCTCCGTGAGTTAACACTTGTATGCGCCGTTTTTTTGTGCTCATCCATAGTCATTCTGTTTCCTGAAGTATTCTCGGTATTGAACATCTTCACATCGCTGCTTCTCCAGGTGCGTGAATGTTCTAAATGTCTTCTATGATGAGCCGTTGATGTTCTGCGCCACAGGACACCTACCGGACCGTTTTGAATGGGTATGCACCTCTGCATCCTACTGCGTATTCCTACTAACAACACTCGAAATGTACACCCACGTGCAGTTTTCAGTTCCTAACCCTTGCCATTGTTGCCGTGCGCATGCACATCCATCTCTGGCAGACAAACCAACATCTAGTACGCGGCTCTGATGGCCCAGTTCATATTCCATTGTCCGACATATCGTTTGTGAATGTCCCGGCGTGATGTCTTATGCTGTGGTTGATTCAGTGTCGTTCATGGAGCGAGGCTTGGACCGTACGAGATGATTGGTGGGGGTTTCGTAGAGTTCGTTACGTGTGTAACTTACAGGATGAGTCTATTGCGGGGCGGGTGGAACATTTGGATGACCTTGATCTATTTGACAACTGTAGTTTCAGCTGCTGCACATGATCATGTATACTACGACAAATTGCATTTGATGACAGCCATCCCGCATAATTATGTTATATTGACATTCAATACGTATCCTTTTGCACACTCTGACCCTGTTTGTATTCGATCTCCTGTGCCGTTCGGATATTCTATATGGGAGCGAGTGGGTCATAGGCTGGTACGACTTCATGCTTGCTTCGATCACGCGTAGAAATATATCAATTTCGTGCGCCTGTACATGGGACGAAGCGAGCTATGTGTAAGATAGATGATGCGCAAGAGACAATTGAGTAACAGGGTTTCTGTATGATTTTATGAGTGACGCAAAGTGGAAGGACGTCCAAAGTAAAATCCGCAGCAGCAACAGGTAACTTCGTAGGAAACATCTCCCCTCTCACCGGTTGACTGCTGTGTTTCTGTTGGTCGTGCTTGAGAGCCTTGTGCCCCTGCTGGTTGACCTGATTGCGTTGCACTGTTAGCCTGGTTGCTGTTCGTACGTTGCATAGCTGCAGCTGCCTCCGCATCAGTTTCAGGGACAATGCCATATCTCTGTATTGTATTTTAATGGAACGAAATTGGAGGGACGACGAGTGACTCACATCTTCATCTTGAGCAAGAGGTACATCGACGGTGCGCGGGGAATGTCCTCCAGAAAACAGCTTGAGATTGAAATTCCAGTGTCGGGAGTGTCGTTCGATTGGTTGAGATGCATTTGCAGGTCGTGTGCCGAAATGTATGGAACTGAGCAAACGACGCCAACGA